AGTTTTAAAAATATATGGACAATAATAAAAATTTCAGGATATCACCTTTTTTTTTCACCTCCTATTTATATATATCAATTAATAATATTAGAGAATTATTTTTATTTTAAACTTTTTCTTGCGAATAATATATCTTAAGTTTTAGTATAACTATAAATTATCTTAAATTGTTTGAGAAAAAATGACCCAATCTGAGCTTTCAAAGTTTCTCAATACTTTTGCCCTATATTATTATAGGTTTAAAGTATTCAATGTAGGTCAATGCCTATATAAAATTTACAATGATAGTGTTCAGCTAAGAAATTTTCTTAATGCAGACAACGAAAATAGTATAGAAGCTATATTTTCAAATCAAGAAGGTCATTTTTTACATGAGTTTATAGATAGAAATAAACTACTTTATCCTATTATAGACTTTAATTTACTAGTAGAGACATTAAATACTGTCATTTCCAAACTTTCAGACAAATAAGTAAAAAATTTACTTTACAATATTTTTAGAAATACTTACTTAGAAATATTCTTAAAATGTGATAAAAAAACTATAATTATTGCTAAAAGTAGTAAAGTAAAAAAATATTTCTTCATATCTCAACTTTTGGCATAAGACTTCTAAATATTAACCAGGCTGAAGTATTCACTAAGCTTATTTGTAAAAACTTCTAGAAGGGTTACAAGAAAATAGTATTATCAATAATATTACAAATAAATGATTATTTTTTTTGCAAATGGTTAGAACATCCAAATTTATTAAAGAAATCAGAGAACATATTTATGTGAAAAAACCATTCTTCTAAAAGATAGAACAATCTTTAACTTCATGCTTTGTCTACCCAATGATGAATCAGAAGTCATAGAAAGTTCTCTCTTAGCTGTTTCAGAGTAAAAGTCAAAAGATATAATAATACAAATAATGAAATCACTGAAACTGAATTCGAGCTTAAACTAGTAGAGAAATTGCTCTAAAAGGTAATATTGAGAAATTTGATCTTTTATATCTATCAGAAACATCTTTTGACATTTTTTCTCTTAAATGAATAATCCTATCATATTGTTCATTATGTATCTGAGAATATACTAGTAAAAATGCATATATTATTCAATATAAAAAATTTTATAGTTTTCATTGCTATTATGCAGATCAGGAAAAGCTATCAGGTAAAAGAAAGCCTTCAATAAAGCTTACTCTTAGTAAATTAGCCTTAAGTTAGGAAAAAAACCTATTAGCTTCAATAAAGTTAGAATAACACAGAATTTAAAATCTAAAAGATCATTTTGTGTGATGAGATTTAATATGTATGTGTATTTCTGATAATAAATTCTCATACACTGAAATTTATAAAGTCATTCAAGTAATAGTTGCCTATATTCCATTAGAAATACTATTATGATTACTAAAATAAGATTCAAAAAATGAGCTTCATTTTTGTATGAGATCTAAACTAAATATTTCTAAGTATAAGATTAAAATAATCAATTATGGGGGTAAAACAGTGAAATTAAAATTATTGATAGACCAGGCAGTCATTAAAGGTCTAATAACTTAAGCAGATTAGAATTTCCTCATATACCCTCTAAATACTCCTCCTTTGAAATTAAAATTCTTTAATCTATTTCTTAGATTTTTGACTAAATTAGCGATGAAAATTAATAAAGAAATTATAGATCTAATTTTTTGACATATAAAATATAATTTGTGATAGAAATGAAGTACTTAATAAGTATATTTGAAACTGATAGACTATTTTAGTGCAGAAGCCAGAACAAAAGCCCAATCAATCTTAATATTAAAATCTACTTTACAATAGTGCAAAAAAAATATTATTACTGATTTTATTAGTAATAAAGTCTTAGGATTACATCTTCATTTTGTAATATCAGATTTAGAAAAATTCTTGGATAATTTAATAGCATTATTCAAGCTCAAAAATTTATCATTATGAATGAGACTGAAATGTCTAATGAGAAATGATATAAGTTTAACAAACATCTCAAATCTTTCATAATAGAAGGAAGAGTTACTATAATATAAAAGTCTTGAAACTAAATAATTAAAAGACTTGTTAGATATATGATTACTAGTAATCAGGATACATCACTCAAAATAGACATAAGTGATTCTCATATAGTTTGCTTTAATATCTCTACATATTGTAAAGGTAATATAGCATATTTTAAAAGATTAGAAAATATACTTGACCATTTTAATGCACTTAGAGTAGTCATGAAATATCTTCTTAGTTATGACCTTTTAGATTTTGAGCTACAGGAAATTCTTAATACTAAAATGAAAAAAAATATAATGTAAAGCCAATTATTCAATTTATAGATGCTTACCAAAACCTCCTCAAAATAATTTCATTATACCCTTTTCTATATTTTAATATAGTTTAACAGTTTCAGCTTTTGTCATATCAAAAGAATTTCGTCATATTCTTTATTATGATTTTAATATAGTTTCATCTAAGTTTCAACTGTTATTAAGAGGTTTCGTCTCTCATCTATAACATAATTCCATTTGATTTATAATTGACCATCTTGGATCTTGGTTGAGAATAATGTAATCAAGATAGGTTAAATAGTATTATACTAAAAATATTATAAATAGTATGGGATAATAATAAAAAACTATTTTTTAATAACATTTTCAGTAAGAAGTTATTAAAGAAAAATATTATTGAGTATAAACCGGAACGAGTGAAGGATAAAAAAAGAGAATAACAATATATTCTTAACTACTTTAAGATTATAGCCAAACTTTGTGAATCTGACCTAGGAAATATGGAAGAATTTTTTAATATATCTTAGCTAGAGGTATTAAAAGCAGATGAGTTTCCTACCAATGAGATCATAGACATACCCATATTCAATGTGTCAATCCTGCATTACCCAGAAAAGAATATGCCTTTACCTAGTATTAAAAAGATAAGAAAAAAGATAAACAGGACAATATAACTTAAGCTTTTTTCAATTATGTAACAGAATAAGCAGAAGTTCTAATCACCTCAACATCTGAAATATCTAAGACTTTTAAATACCTAAGCTAGTAATTGATAAATCTGAGATTAGCAAGCTTTCTAATTCTTTTGAGCTTATCAATAGAGTATCATCTACCATACTTTTATCTAGAACTCAACGAGAAGAGCATCTCAGAAAAAGACAGTTGAACTTAAAAAAGATCTAGATATCTTTATAACTATCACTGAAAAAGATAGGCTCAATTCTATTAAATTCTAAGATAAAATAGAAACTGACGTTCAGATACATGATTATGCAAAGAAGATAAAAAAAGTCTCCAATGAATATATAGATATAACAGTATAAGAAAGATTGATAAGAAAAAAATAATCTGTCATTCTCTTGAGAAAGATGAGATTATATTCTCATGACTTGATATCGATAAGAAATAGCAAAAAAATATAAGCATACTCTAGAAAAATGATATACTTTGGTAAAGAGTAAATAAGAAACCAATTTATAAGAAAAGTATTTAAGTAAAAGAGTCTTTATATTCTTTACATATAGGCGATATAAAATTCTAAATTATTATTATTTTTTTCATATATTCTATCTACTCATAATTTTTAAATCAATGTAAAACTTTCTAGTCAGAGTAGATAATCTCATAGAGAATCTGTGTAGTCTATATAATTAATATTTTTTTTCATTTTCTTAACCTTCTCAAGAGCTATCTCTAATATTTTTCCTTTTTGAAGAAGCATAGCTTTGAAAAAATTTTTGAATTGAATTTTTTTCTATATAGTATAACTAGGTAACAATTACAATCTAGTTATTATTAGCATAGTTATCACAAAAACTGCTCTAAAGACCTGATAACCCAAAACTAATAACCATACTGCCATTTTAAACCAATTCTTAAAAAATATAACTTATTCGCTGAGTTAACTCTAGAACAATTAAGTATACATACTAGTAAACTTAATGCTTCACTTTTAAATTAAATAATCTGTAAATGTGTTAAAGTTACTCTTGCTAACTAAAACATTTATTTAATAAAAAGAAGATAGAGATACTCGTATCAGACAAGAGAAAGAAAAAGCTTACTATTAGAAAAAGAGCACTCTATTATGCTAAAACTGGTAATAAGTGGAATATTTATTCATAGCTTTTATTATTTTATAACGAATTAGAAAAGATTAATATTACTTATGAATTCATTGATATTTATATCAAAGACTCAGATGTTATTACAGATTCTAACAAAATTTAGAAAGAATGGATTGAGCAAAATTTAGCCAATAATAAGTTAAAAATTCAATCACATTTCTCCTTAAAAAAGGGTCTTAAAAGGATTCAAAATATTGATACTACTAAAGATCTCTCTATGCAAGATCTTGTAGATGTAATGGTGATGGTATGTATGAAGCTAGCTGAAGTATCTAGCCTTCAGATCAATCACTATAAAGTTAGCCCATCCAATTATCTAGTATAGTATAAAAATAGTTATTCTTAGTATTGTATTAGATATGCTAAGAATAAAAAAAAAATAAGGATAATCCAGAGCCTTGTTTATTCCTTTTCATGGAAAAAGATTTAGAACATATGCTTATATAGATTCAAGAAGTTATAAAGACTAGAAAGTTAATTGATTCTACTTTTAATAAAAATGAAAAGCATAATACTAAGATATTTAGAAAGTTTCTGAAGTCTTATAAAATCATACCTAAAATATTAAGAAAAATTGAAGATAAGCATGCCTGCAGACAGTAAATGTTCATTTTTGATGTTTCAGAGATTTGTTATTCTAGCTATATGTCTCAGTTATATGTTCCAACCTGTCTCACACTATGTCCCTAATGTCTTATCAATATCCCATCAGTGTTCCATCAATATCCCATCAAGTCTTATGACAACACTGCCTGCAGAGTTCACATTGGTCCAAATGCAACTTATCAGAATCTTGATCTGCTTAATAGAAAAGTATTAAGACAATAAGATTGTATATCACAATACAGGAAAAAATTTATACTATAGACAATATGAAATCAGAAGACTTTGACCCTGAATCTGAATCTGAATCTGAGCCAAACGATTTCAAAGGAATTAGTCTAGTGTCTAAATCTCAAACTTCATTGATTCAGCCTAAAAATGATAATTATAATCTTTTCAAAGGACAGATAGCAGAAATTGATGTAATGTTGGCTAGTTTTTAAAATCATATAATTAATATTTTGTTTGAGATCCTGCTAAAATGAAGCAGAATTTTTTTAGTCTAATATAATTAACCTAGAGTAGTAATCACATAATTTTATTTTTTCATTTGAAGATATAACATATAAAACAGAATATTTATGATACAATCAAGTATTTTTATTATACAGGAACTACTAGAACAGATTTTATATTTTATAGCGATAGATAACTTCCTCTATTCTGCTCTATTTATTTGCAAGTTATGATACAGATGTGGTGTTCCTATTCTATAGAGATGTATTGAGCTAAAGAGAAATAATTTATATCTAAAGCTCTAAATGGTTTGGATTAATCTGAAGATTTTTAGATTAGTTCAGTTCAGATTAGTTTCAAATTGCATAAAAATCGATCTGAAAATTTTCAGTTCAATTCAGATTTTTTTCAGATTATAATTCTAATCTGAACTGAAAAAAATCCAAACTGAACTGATAATTTCAGATTAATCTGAAAGTTCAGTTTGATTATATGTGAAACTCTTAGATGATCGCAAAATTTGTGAATTCTCTAAAAGGATCACAAAAATTTAGCGAAACTCTTAAAGAATCACAATTTTTGCGGTTTTTCTTCAAATTTCACAAAAAAATCATGAAACCTTTAGAGAATCGCAATTTTTGTGATTTCTCTTAGTATTTCATAAAAAATATTGCGAAATTCTTGAAGAGTCACAAAAAATTGCGATTTCTCTTCAAATTTTACGAACCTCAAAGAGAAATTTGCGATTTTTTGCGATTCTCCTAGAGTTTTGCATATAAATTGCAGATTCCTTATATAATTGAACTGTAATTTCAGATTAATCTGAAAATTCTGGTTCAGTTCAGATTTTTACCAGTCTGCGGTTCAGTTCATATTCAGATTGGCATTTTTAAGATTAATAATCTGAATTGAACTGAACTGAAATTTTTAGTTCAGATACGGATTAGCATCTAATCTAAACTAAATTGAACCGTTCAGAACTTTAGTTAGAGTATCTCAAGCTGATGACTTATTGGAAATATCCACTGTTTCTCTTTTGACATCAGTAAGATCTGTAAGCAACTTTTTTTTAGGGCTATTATTATTAATGCATCTGTTTAAGAGAATAGTGATATGAGGATGATCAAGAAGAAAGTCAAACATGGCTAATTGATTTGTGATAAAATTTTCACATTATTGTTTGATTGCTTCTTGAATAGATTTTACTTTGTATTCTGATTCTTGTATTTTTGTGACAGCTATTTTTTAAGATCTTGGAGAGCAGAAGTTATCATTAATAAGAAATTCAAAGAATATGCAATTAATGTAAGTAAAGTAATATCATAATCCTTAGAGAATTGTAAGGCTTTATTAAACAATTGATCTTATTTGATGTTATAAACTCTACTGAAGAGGCAAGATTTAAAGTAGCATTCCAGTTTATAAAGCAATTTAATATGTTTGTAAATTAATTTGAGTAATTTGAGTTTGAGATTACAAGTATGATGAGAGGTGTGTTTGTTATGAATATGTTTTAAAGCTACATTTATGATTAAAGATGGTCATCGCAATTAAAAAAAATGGTGCAATTGAGTTGCAACTTGTGGCGCAATTAAATTTCCTTATGGCGCAATTAAGTTGCAACTCAATTGAAATTTGAAA